CGATGAAAATAAAAAATGTGAAAAATGAAAATTCTTGAGTAACAAATAGAAATTCGGATAAATTGAATTTGTTACAGAATAATTTGAAAAAAAAATCGGTTAAAAATTTTAACTAATTAATTTAGATCTTTATATACAAGTGTTTTAACATTTTTATTTATTTTTTATTCAATAAATTGAACGATGCTGAAGTGCACAACGTTTTTGATAAACGATTTTTAAAGAAATAATTTTTTAAAATGAAAAATTCTATAATTTTTTAATATTATTTCTTGTAGTTTTCATTAATCAACAAATTATAAAAAAAATATTTTATAGGAAAAAAATTATAGAATTTTTCATTTTAAAACATTATTTCTTTAAAAATCGTTTATCATAAATACGTTGCTTCGTATAAGTTGACGGGAAAAATTATTTTTTACATTCTATGTTTTTATTTTAATTATTTATAATTTTTTTTCTATTTTTTTATGCACTGAAAAAAAAATATTGTTATTTTTACATAATAGTTTTTTAAATTTTATTTTAATAAATATAATAATTAAAATAATAAATATAATTTTTTTTTTGTTAAAAAAAATATTATATATACAAAAAATAACAAATTTAAAAAAAGAAATTTTTATGGAATAACAAAAGAAATTGAAAAGAAATTTATGTAAAAAAAATTTATCTTGAAAGATAGGATATTAAAAAAAGGCGAAAATTTTGAAAAATTTTCTATTCGAGGAGAAATTATTTCCGCGAGAGTATAAAGATATTTTTTTTTTTTTTGAAATCTTTCAATTGAATTTTGATGTAGGTATATATAAACTGCGGTTTAAAATTTCTATATTGTTTTTCTTCTTTCTTTTTTTTTTTTTTTGCTTCCGAATATGTTTCATGCGGGTCCTCGAATGAAGTATCAGCTACCCTAACTACCAAAACAACTCACAACCAGTTTTTCGAGCCCTCTCTCCTGACTTCTGACTAACTAAGTCATTGGCTATTTATTATGTGCCCGGGTTGACACGTTAATGAAACCCAAGTCGACCATGATTTTTTATTTTATTCTTCTTTTTTTTCCCAACGATTCGTATTTTTTTTTTTTGTGATATACACACGACGAACTACTGTATTAATTCAACACTTTTTTTTTTCTTTAATTCTAAACCAAAAGTTATTTCACATTCCTGAAAATAAATTCTCAATTTTTATTATTGTAAAATAGTAAACAAAAATTATTTCAAAACAATAAAATATCAGTAATTTAATAAAAAAAAAGGAAATTCAATAACAGCCTCGTTGTTTTCTTATTTGCTAAAAATATTTCGAAATATTTTCTAGTTAACATTCTTGTATTTATAGGTTTGAACTAAATTGAGTTGAGTCAAGTATCCGCATTGTTTAGTGAAATATATATTTGAAATAATATTCCGAATATAATTATGCGCAAAAAAATTAATTTATTTATATATTTGTAGTGTGAATAATGAACAAAATATTTTCCATTGTTTTAATAGCCGCGCGGAAATACCGAATGAGAACAAAAGAATAACGCAATTTCACAAGTGATGCGCGCGTTAATGTATATGTTTTGTGCCAAAATTATATTTGTCGAAATATGGAGAGCAAGACACGCGAGACGAATATCCGTAATTATTCAAACTCAATTATGTAGCTTCTTAACGCCATGTACTTCAATAATTCACTGAGACGATTCGTCTCACGATAAAATTACCAACGACACATTACTGAAATGAATTAAAATTTAAGGCAACCAAAAATATAACACACCAACACGCGAGATAAAAACAGAATTGAATTTTTCCCAAATTGTTTCCCAAAAAAAATTTGTAATTTAAATTATTTATTTTTTATGAAAAGAAAAATTATTGCAAAATTTTTTTTCTATTATAAATAATTTTTTATATATTTTCTTTTTAATGGAAAATGTTGGTAATTTTATATCTTGTTAATATTAATTATGTGTTGTATAATTTTTCGTTTTTGAAAAAAAAAATGATAAATTTGTTTTCAGATAGTAAAGACAAATGGTGACTAATTAGAGCGTCGGGGGAATGATAATGAATCAGGAATCAGAAATGACTGCAGGTACTTAAGCTTTAACTAAACGTCAATGACAAAGCAATCTCGAAGCACTGTCATTAACTGGATAATATGAGGATTCGTGTCTAACGGTAATAATATACTATGGTAACATTGCCTATTTATTGTCGACTCCTAGGATATACCAGTCACGACAGGATTCTGTAATTAAACTGATGTTGTGGAAATGCTTATCGAAGTACGTTTTATACTTTCTTTTTTTTTCTCCCTATTACTCGTTTCATTATATGTTGTCTCTAAAGTGAAATTAACGATTTTAAAAAAAAAAATTTTTTAATAGCCAAAACAAACGGTCACTATGTTAATTGTTCATTTTCTCTTTGATATTAAATCAAATTGATTTTTTCATTATTGCGACATTAGGAAAATTCGATTGTCAAATTTAGATAGAAAATGAAAATTTAATGATTGGCAAAATTGAAAGAAAAAGAATTTATTTTGGAAAAAAAAATTGATAATTTTTGGCAAATAGCAAAATATTTTTTTTCATTTTGGGTTTTTTTTTTAAAAAAAATGATTTGAGTTTTATCAAAGTAAAATAGTTTATTTTTATTTGTATTTTGCAAATTTGGTAAAAATTCGAATTGCAAACATTTTTGTAATAATTTTCAAAATCTTGTCAAATCTTTGTAAAATATTTTTGTTGATGTTTTTTTAGATTAATTTTTTTAAATGCAGCTTTATCGTAGTAAAATATTTTTTTTTATTAGTATTTTGTCAAAATTTGCAAATTTAAAAAAAAAATTGAATTGCAAAATTTTGTTAATTAAAATCTTCTATTGCAACAGTTGTATTATCATAATATTGAAAATTCATTAAATTATCCAGATTAGATTATCAAATTAAAGTAGAGGGGTTTATTTCATTAAATTATTATATATATTGAAATGATCAAATTATTCTATCAATTTAAATTTGTGTTTAATTTTTTTATAATCAAATTAAATTCTATTAGATTTCTTTTTTTATTCATTGAAGAGAAATTTGATTTTTGTATTTTTCTATTAAGGTTTTTAAATTTTGAAAGAAAATTAGTAACTTTGAAATTCTATGAACGTTCAAATGAACGAAAAATTTGTTTACTACTTTTTAACTTCAAATTTTGTTATAAAATATTATTTTTTGTATCGAAAATAAATTATTTATTAAATATTAAATTATTAAATAATTATTAAATATTTTTTTTTTATTTTTTATTTCTATAGTAATTTAAAAAAAAATGATTTCGTTCATTTAGTTCAGAATTTCAAGTACATAATTAATAAATTATTATTATAATTTCCAGTCAGAGAAAATAAAAAATTATTCAGTTAAAAAGTCAGTAAATATATATATTTGTAAACGATTTAATAAGCAAATTTAATTATTTTCCAAAAATTAATTTGATTTTAAAATTTATTGTATTTTAATAGTAAAAATTGTTCTCATTGTAATTTGTTATTATTTCAATCAATATTTTAATTTTTTTTTTAAATTATTTTTCAACCACTCTTTGATGTCATTTAATAACAAAATTTAAAGATTTATTTTATTTATTTAATTAAAAGATATACAATAATTAATTCCATATTTATCTCATAGAAAAAGTAATAAAATTCTATATAGTATCTATATTTTTTTTGTCAAAAATTATATTTATTCCGCAAATTTGATTAGTTTGCAAAAAATTAATTTGAAAATTTTGTAAATATATTATTCCGCTCAAATTTTATTATTTTTCCAAAAATTAATTTGAATAAATTTAAAATTTATTGTATATTTTATATATTTATAATAATAATTGTAATAATTTTTTATTATTTTAATCATTATTTTAACCCTTTGAGAACAATAGTTTTGATTTTAACATAAAATTTTTTTTTTATCTTAAGCATATAAGTTTCTTGATTTTTAAAACTAAATATTAGACCAATGTTTTTCATTTCTGTATCTAAAATAAATTAATTATTAAATATTAAATTATTAAATAATTGTTAAATACTTTTTTCATTTTTTTATTTTTTTTTTAAGTAAATTTAAGTAAATTTCCAATTCTATTTTTATTTATTTATTTATTATTAATTATTTTATTATTATTTATTTATTATTAATTATTTTATTATTATTATTTATTTATTATTATTATTTATTTATTTAACTTTTTTATTTTTTTTTTTTTTTAAGTAAATTTAAATAAATTTCCAATTCTATTTTGAGACAAAAAACCTTAATTATAGTTTCGCTGAAAAATTTGTTAACAAAATCAAAAATACGAAGCTGAAGTACGCAACGTTTATATAAACGATTTTTAAAGAAATAATTTTTTAAAATGAAAAATTCTATAATTTGTTGTCTAAAAAATATTTCTTGTAGTTTTTATTAATCAATAAATTATAAAAAAATAATTGTTAGGCAAAAAATTATAGAATTTTTTATTTTAAAAAATTATTTCCTTAAAAATTGTTTATATAAACGTTGCGTACTTCAGCTTCGTTCAAAAATCGTGATTTTTTTAAGAAAATAATTTGCTCTTCACTGGGGTTAATATATTTTTTTTTCGTTATATTTTTCAACCCCTCTTTGAGGACAATAACAAAATTCCAAAATTTATTTTATATTTATTTAAGATACAAAATTTCAAATTAATCACGTAATTTCTATATAATTAACAAATAAGCGAAATAATTTTTTTCATACGAAAATTAACAAAATTATTTATTCCACAGGTATTTTTGATAGAAAAAGGAGCAAATTTTCCGCTTGATAACGAAGGACGATCAACAGAAGGAATTTTGGAAATTGACAAGACATATTCACCTCGATTTGGAAATTGTTTGGAGAAATTGAAAAATGTGAAAAGTATTCACAAAGGATCAAAAGGTACAGTAGGGAATAAATATAATTAAACTCACCATGCTGATGTAGTTTTCCTCCGCCGACGGCCAATTGTTGACTATGTCGAATATGATGATTCTGATGAATCGTTTGTTGTTGTTGTTGCTGATGTCGAGAATCCCTTGCCATAATCGCAGCAATACTAAAGTCAGTTGCACATTGCCGATTTGAATTACAATTATTATTATTAGTAATATTATTAAGGCTTCCATTAGGTGACTGACTAGAACTATCATCACCCTCGTCTCTTGTGCAACCTGATAATCCTGATGAATTAACAGCCGTGGTGGTGGCGGCGACGGTTCCCTCGGCTTGCATTATTTTATTCCCGAGAAGGCCCCGCGAGTCCTCCTCGTCCTCTTCACTTTGGGCTCCACCGCCACCACCACCACCACCTCCTCCCCCGCCTCCACCACCCCCAAAAGTAGACAGGATCAGTCCGTTTCTCTTCCTTCCGGCGAGGGCACGCGACTCCAGCAACATCACCTAATATCAAACGTTTCCCTAGAGAACGTTTTTTCCCCCTTTTTTGATTTAAAAAAAAAAAAAAAAAAAATTCAATACCAATTCCCCCCTCCCTTTTTTGGGTATTTTAAAAAGTAATTATCTTATCACATATCCGAGGATCATGTCCACTATTTGATATGACACTTAGAATTCTAAATAGAATTCCCTAATAGTAAAATTTTTCTGTTTTAGATTCTCTAATGGAATATGTAATCCTTTAGTCACTACACTGATCACTTGGAGAGAAAAAAAAGGAATAAATCGCGTGGTGAGAGTAAAAACCGGAACGTTTGCGAGTAACGACAGACCGGTTGCCTGACAAGACTGACCCGTGCTTCGTCGACACGGAATCGCGGTTATTTCCCCTACCCCTGTATTATACCTTTTGGAGTAGAAGGCTCAACACAATCTGCAGCAGCAGGAGGTGAGAGAGAGCAAAACCCTGGAGAAGAGGAGGGATGTGTGTTGAGAGAGAGAAAGAGAGAATATATTCCAAGCTCCGCCTTTTCGATCAGCAGGGTTTTCTCTGCCACGCCCCAGTCGCTGCCTCTGATGATAGCGACGTTATTACCGCCGCCACCACCACCATCCCATGTACGTGCGAACGTTCACAGAAAAGTTGGAAATGTATTTGTAATATGCATATATACACATATATATAGAAGGGAATGTGTGGTATTATAGTCTCGTACGCGCCATCCAGCCACAGCAGCTGCCATTTTTTCTTACGAGAGGGGGCAATTGCTGACAGGGACCGCTTTCCCTCCTGGCCCTGGCAAGCCTCCGCCGGGTGAGTAGCAATTTATTGTTTTACTGTTGGACTTTAAATGCGCGTTGGAGAGCAAGAGAGAGAGAGAGAGAGAGAGAATTTTTTTAGAGGCGGTGGGTGGATGAAGTAGCAGATGCGATAGTAGGATGAGGGTTGATGAAGAGAGAGAGAGGGAGCGAAGTTTTGCAAAGAAGGGATGAAACCCTTATGGACCATTCCTGATGACTTGTCGCACCATCTAACTCGACCAACAGCTCACCCAACTTTGCAGATTCAATGACTCGAGACTATATGCGCGCTAGTTCTCCAAGTTTCTCAAGGATCAAGACGATAAGATGAAGATGTCTTTGGAGCTTCTCAAAATTCGTCCATGCGAAATATATGAGATTAGTATAATTAACAAAAACAACTTTTAATCGAAATATCGCACTACAAAATTTTTTCTTCGGAAAAATAATTCTTAAAAATTTTTTGTTCTTTGATTTGAAATTATTCTGATTCATTTTATCTTAATTATTGTATTATTCAAGGTTTGCCGCACGCGGTTCAGAAAAATCAGAAAAAAGTCAAGGAATTTTTTTAAAAAATTATTCGGATATTTTTCCGCACTGACGGGAAATTTTTCCTAAAAGTTTTGCATTTTTTTTTTTACAAATACAGAAAAAAGAGGAAATTTTTTCCAATTACATATATATGGTCGCGAATATTTTTCCATTAACGAGGAAAAAATTTTTCCTAACAATTTTGGATTTTTTTTTCCAAAATATGCGTGAAAAAATTTCCAGTTAAGATGTAAATTTTTTTTCTACAAAATTTGGAAATTATTCCTATCCAATTAGTGGAAAAATAATTCCGAATATATATATATATAGCTAGGAATAATAATTCCGTCTGATTGAATGGAAATAAAATTTCCCGCCGCTGTTTTGGCGCTTTCTGAAATTTTTGGAAAAATTTTCGAAAATTTTTTGATAGTGATATATAGTACAGGATTTGCTACGGGTCAGAAAAATTAGGGAAAAGTGAGGAAATTTTATGAAACTGGAAAAATAGCAAATTTCTAAAAATGATTAGTCAATTTTTTTTTTGTAAATATAGTAAAAAGTTACTTTATATTTTTTTTTTTCCTACTAAAATTATAATTTTTAAAATTTTTCAATTCAAATACTTTTACTTCTAAAAATTGTTTGAATTTTTTATAATTGAAAATTATTTACATCTTGAAATATTTTATAGGGTCGGGGAAAAAATTTTAATTTTGACTGGGAAATCAGAGAAAAACAAAATAAAATTTTCGTTGCATTAATTATTATGAAGATTCGGTTTTTTTCTATATTCTATAATTTCGCGAATTTTTATATAATTTTATCTACCCGAATTTTCATTTTGTAGGATTTGATAAATTAAATTTTTATATTTTTTAGGAAAATAAGTTTTTATTTTATTGTAATTTTCTTCAGATTCTATTTTCATTTAATCGAATATTGTTATAATTTTTGAAAGAATTTTTATTTAAAGGAATTTTTATTATCGAAAATTTCATTTGAGCAACTTTTTATATAAAAAAATTTTAATAAATGAAAAATAAAATTTTCATTTATTGAAATTACTATTTCAGCTATATTTTTTAATTTCAGCAAATTTTCATTTGAATAAATTTTTCTTTAATCGAATTCTATATTTTTTTGTTGAAATTTTCTTTTCAAACGAATTTTTATTTAATTAAATTAATATTTGAACAAATTTTCATTTAAATAAATTTTTCGTTAACCGAATTCTATTATTTTGTTGAAATATTCTTTTCAAACAAATTTTTATTTAATTAACTTAATATTTGAACAAATTTTCATTTAAATAAATTTTTCTTTAACCGAATTCTATTATTTTGTTGAAATTTTCTTTTCAATCGAATTTTTATTTAATTAACTTAATATTTGAGCAAATTTTCAATTAACAAAATTTGCACCTCATGAAAATTTTCATTTGAATAAATTTTTCTTTAATCGAATTCTGGTTTATTGTTGAAATTTTCTTTTCAATCGATTAATCGAATTTTCATTTAACTAAATTACCATTTCAATAAATTTTCCTTTGAATAAATTTTCCTTTAACCGAATTCTATTATTTTGTTGAAATTTTCTTTTCAATCGAATTTTTATTTAACTAAACTATTTTAATTCAATTAAATTTTCGATTTATGTAAAAAATTTATATTTCCCTAGAATTAATATACATTTAACAGAATTCTATTTTTTCGCTAAGAATGAAAATCAAAGAGATAGAAAATTATAAATTAAAAAAAAAACCAAATTCTCTAAGTATGTATAAGGGATAAATTTAATTATTAATTTAAAAAAAATACTAAGTTAAAATGAATTTAAATTATTAGTTTCCGCGACATCAATAAACGTCAATTTTTTAATTTTTATTATGAATAAATTATCAAATATAGTCTACTCTGTGTATATGCGGAGAATATTATTTTCTTGAGATGAAGAATTTCATTATATTATTATTTTAGGTTTTTTGAATTAAATTAATCCTTAATGAAAAGACGGTGATAAAAATATAGTGTCGTATATATAAATCTTGAAAACTTAGAGCTATGAAGGAAAGAATTAAATAATTTAAAATAAAGAATAATTAAATTTTCCAGTAACTTATATGACTGTCTGACATATATGTAAAATATTTATTATATACATTCATAATTTATTACTTTGAAAGGCGAATAACGTTCTTGTTTTATATTTAAAATTATATTCCTTTTAAATTGCTAACAAAAATTCGTGTTTTCTAAAAATCGTATTTTTTCTTAATGACAGAAAAGCGATTAAAAATATACTTTTTTTTTTTTTTTTTTTTTTTATTGGAGAAAGAGAACAATTTTCCTTCAAGTGACGTTCTTTTTTTTCCTCATTCAAAAAGAAGAACTTTATTTAAGGATGAACTGAAGCTTGGAAAACTATATATTTTTATCTGCGAGTAGATCCCGCGACGTGACTAAGCTAAAAATTGCCCCCATTCTGTGCGACAGAGTCTGAATGCGACATTAAGTTTCGATTACTGACATCCACAGGAGGACATGTCGCAGGTAGAATAAGCGTCAGTGTCAAATCATATCTGTTAAAGATTTTTTTTTTCTTTTTTTATCTTTTTTCATCAACCTGCAATTGTAATCGCTCAAAAATCCGCGTCATCCTTGCGCGCGGCTTTATTCTTTTAATTTTATTTATTTTTTTTACAAAAAAAGGAATTTTTATTCTTTTGATTTTTTTTTACAAGAAATTTTTATTATTTTAACATTTTAAATAAAATGGAATTTTTTCTTCTAGTTTTTTCCATCAAAAAGGAATTTTCATTCTTTCAGTATTTTTTACAAAAACGGAATAAAAATTCCGTTTTATTTTTTACAGTTTATTTATTTTTTTTGATAAAAAGGAATTTTTATTCTATTTGTTTTTTTACAAGAAATTTTTATTCTTTTAATTTTTTTTTTATAACAGAATTTTTATTCTTTTAATATTTTTTATAAAAACGAAATTTTTATTCTTTTAATTTTTTTCATCAAAAAGGAATTTTTATTTTTTATTCTTTTAGTATTTTTTTACAAAAACGGAATTTTTATTACGTTTATTTATTTATTTATTTTTTTTAATAATTAGGAAATTTTATTCTTTTTGTTTTTTTACAAGAATTTTATTCTTTTAATTTTTTTCATCAAAAAGGAATTTTTATTTTTTATTCTTTTAGTATTTTTTTACAAAAACGGAATTTGTATTCCGTTTTTTTTTATTCCGTTTATTTTTTTTTTTTTTTAATAAAAAGGAAATTTTATTCTTTCTGTTTTTTTTTACAAGAATTTTATTCTTTTAATTTTTTTTATGAAACAAAATTTTTATTCTTTTAGTATTTTTTACAAAAACGCAATTTTTATTCTTTTAATTTTTTTAAAAAAGCGGAATTTTTATTCTTTTAGTTTTTTTCATCAAAAAGGAATTTTTATTTTTTATTCTTTTAGTATTTTTTTACAAAAACGGAATTTTTATTCTTTTATTATCTTTAATAAAAAGGAATTTTTATTATTTTTGTTTTTTTACAAGAAATTTTTATTGTTTTAATTTTTTTGATAAGAAGGAATGTTTATTCTTCTCGTTTTTTTTTACAAAAACGGAATTTTATCCCGTGTGGAAAAAGCCACGATCTTGCCCTCAAGAGTTCGGGGCCCCCGGCGGGGGCCCATGAGGGCTGATCCATATGGCGAATCCATGAGGGGCACCGTAGGGGCCCCGCATGGATCGCCCTCATGATCGATTAGCAAAATTTTCTAAGTCCAAAAATCAAATATTTTTTTATCACCAAAAAATTAATGTTTATAATGATTCAGAACCACGAAAAACGCGTTTTTAATAAAAATATATTTACACTTTTTTGAAAATAACACTCACACTTATGGCAAAATAGATGAGGGCCACCGTAGGGGCCCGCATGGATCGCCCTCATGATCGATTAGCAAAATTTTCTAAGTCCAAAAGTCAAATATTTTTTTATCACCAAAAAATTAATGTTTATAATGATTCACAACAATGAAAAACGCGTTTTTAATTAAAATATATTTTCACTTTTTTTGAAAATAACACTCACACTTATGGCGAATCCATGAGGGGCACCGTAGGGGCCCCGCATGGATCGCCCTCATGATCGATTAGCAAAATTTTCTAAGTCCAAAAAACAAATATTTTTTTATCACCAAAAAATTAATGTTTATAATGATTCAGAACAACGAAAAACGCGTTTTTAATAAAAATATATTTACACTTTTTTGAAAATAACACTCACACTTATGGCAAAATAGATGAGGGCCACCGTAGGGGCCCCGCATGGATCGCCCTCATGATCGATTAGCAAAATTTTCTAAGTCCAAAAGTCAAATATTTTTTCATCAACAAAAAATGAATGTTTCCAATGATTCAAAACAACGAAAAACGCGTTTTTAATAAAAATATATTTACACTTTTTTGAAAATTCACCTGAGATGATTGATGATAATAATCATAAAGCATATAATTAATTATATTTTATAAATTGCATTTGATTGGAAAATATAATTTAATATCTTAACTTTAACTAAATGATGTTAAGCACTTTTCTTTGTTAGGTATTTTTGAAGTTTAAATAGCATCAAGAAGTTAGCATTCGTTTTGAAGTAGCGTGCGTAGCGTAGTTGGTAAAGCGTTAGGTTCATAGTCCGTAGGTCGTAGGTTCGATTCCCCCCATGCGTTAGATTTATTTATTTCTCAGGTTTGCGTTTAATCATTAATTCTATGTATGAATTAATTGAAAAATGAAAATATCCGTTAATAGTATGCATAAATTAAATATTTTTTAATTTTTTAATTAATTAATTTATTATTACTTTTAATTATATCCGACAGTTAATTAATTAGAACGTTAATTAATAAATTCAATTTGAGTAAGAATTTAATTTAAAATTGAATAATTATTAAATAAATATGTTATTTATTCATAACTTAAGCTTATTTATTATTAATTAACTTTTATTATTAATATTATTGATTAAAAAACATTATGGCAAACTTGAGGGCAAGATGAGGGCAAACGTGAGGGCCCATAAGGGCGCCCGTAGGGGCACCCTCATGGATCGCCCATGCGGGCGCCCTCATCGATGAGCATGTCGTTTCCATGAGGGGCCCCTATGGATCATCCATATGCGGCCCTCATGGCATGAGGGCGATCCATAAGGGCCCCCGCTGGGGGCCCACATCACTTTTCCACACGGGATTCTTTTAATTTTTTTAAAAAAGCGGAATTTTTATTCTTTTAGTTTTTTTCATCAAAAAGGAATTTTTATTTTTTATTCTTTTAGTATTTTTTTACAAAAACGGAATTTTTATTCTTTTATTATCTTTAATAAAAAGGAATTTTTATTATTTTTTTTTTTTTACAAGAAATTTTTATTGTTTTAATTTTTTTGATAAGAAGGAATGTTCATTCTTCTCGTTTTTTTTTACAAAAACGGAATTTTATACTTTTAATTTTTTTTTTGATAAAACGGAATATTTTGATTCTTTATATAGTTTTTTTTTATCAAAAAGGAATTTAATTATATTTACAATAGAGGGAATTTTTGTTCTTAACGTATTTTTTTCATAAAAATGTTTCTTAAATAATTATTTATTTTTAATTAATTTTTTATAGAAATTGAACATTTTTTAATGAATTTTTTTTTAGTTTGAATTTTTATACATGGAATTTGTATAAAAAAATTTCTTGATTTTTTGAATAATTCTAATTGAAATAAAATAGAATTTAAATATAATTTAATTTTTTATTGAAAGGAATTTAGTGTATTAATTGTTGATTTTTTTTGACAGGAAATGATTCTTTGGAGACATCTTTGAGGAAATATATAGATATGTATATTTTTTTTCCGACGAGCTTCAACTTGCCGCAGAGATGTTATACAGTCTACATAAAATGTAAATGTACACGTCGAGCACTTATTTGTGATAGTCAGTAAATCCCTGGAGATGGTGTAATTAACCGATTTCCATTTTAATGCCACTGGACGTATATATATATATATCTATGCTATTGCATTAGGAATGCTGAGAAAACCATAGATAATAGTTGCGCGCAGAACGTCGCCGTTACTAATCAGCGGTAGTTACACTTGCTTCTAATTACGAGAGTACAAGGTATGTATATATAACTTTGAACAAGTATTCTGGGTTTTAGGATATATAATTTGCTAAATCGATTTATACAAATCATTTACTTTTACTCCATTCGAGAGTAAAGAATATATTTTTATTGCGGCATTTAGAAAAACAAATTTTCACCTAAAATTTCAATTTATTAATGTAATTTAATTTTTATTTACTTATTTTTAGCCGAATTTTTTTTTTCGAATTAATTAACGGAAATTTCATTTAACCGAATTTCTATATTAAAGAATTAAACGAGTTTTCATTTTAGAAAATATTATTATTATTTGCTCGAATTTTTTTTTGAACTGAATTTAAAAAAAGAATTTTTATTTTACAGAATGAATATTAGAATTTTTTTTCTTGACAATTTTGTTTGAATTTATTTATTTTAATTTTTTTTAGAAAATATTTGTTCGAATTTTTTTTTGAACTTAATTTAGAAAAAGAATTTTTTATTTTACATAAATGAATATTTAGAAAGAATTTTTTTATAGACAATTTTAATTTGTTCGTATTTATTTTTTTTATATATTTTTGTAAACTATTGGAAAATTAATCAACATTGTTGAATATGTAGTTTTTTTTTGGAAAAATTTCGTTCTAATTTTAAATATTTTTTTAATTTCTTCTATTATTAGAAAATTCGGTTCTAGTTTTTCTATTTTATTTTCGAGAATTTTTATATTTTTTCTATGTTTTCCCGAATTTTTATTTAGCACAATATATCCATTTACAAAAATTTCTATTTATCCAAATTTCCATTTGATAAATAAAATTATATTTCTCCAAATTTTTCTGCCAGATATTTATTCAAACAAAGTTCTGTAAAATAAAATTTCAGCGTTTTAATAGATTTCTATAAAATTTAATTCCGAATAAATGAAATTTTGACTACACTGAAAAAAATGTATTTGATTCAAGTAATCTACTTGACTATAATCAAATAAATATTTGCTTAGACCTAATAAGATTTATTTGAATTAAATAAATTGTATTTGAATCAATAATTTCTTTATTCGAAATAAATATTTAATAAATAAATATTTAATTGGCTCAAATAATAATTATTTAATACAAATAAATTTTCATTTGATAATACGATAATAGTCAGGTAACCGATTATTTGAATCAAATAAATTTTTTTTCAGTCTTGAAAATAATTTCCTTCTAATATTGTTTTTCATAAAATATAGAAATTCTTTTAAATACGACGAAGTCCAATAAAAATTCGAGTAAATAATAATTTTGTAAAATAAAAATTCGTTCAAGTAGAACAATTCCGTAATATATACAAATTTGTTTTTTTTTTATTCATTTATTCTTTCTTTTCATTATTATTTTTTTCTGATTTGCTGAATTTTCTTTCATAATTGTTCTCAAATTTAAATATTAATTAAATTTTTGAATATATTGAAAAATTTTTATTTTCCACTTTCTATTGAATTTATATTTTCGCGACTTTATTTATGAAAATCGAGAGGGATGAAATTGTGAAATAATAAAAATTACCGATTAGAAACCATTATCATTTATCGAGAGCAATAAGTGGATCTTGAAATCCTAGCAGTTATACTATATTTGCAAATCAATTTTTGTTTTTTTGTTTTCATTTTTTTTTTTTTTTTGTACTTTTTTATTATCCTGGGGTTGTAAATAGAGAATTTTGCTCTAACGCGAACGTTGCGATCGTAAAAATCCAATGGACCATTCGTCCTTATTGGCTCCTGACTGTTCAAATCATATTTCCGATTTCCAATCTTTTTTATCTACTTGGGAAAGTGTCCAACGTTGTTTCGGGCAAATTGTGAACTAAAAAATACGGGTCAAACTCACCCTGTATGTTGTTTTCCTATCTCGAAAATCGACAATATTTCTAATTTGAAACGTTTTTTTCTTTCTGTATATTTTATACTCGCAAAGAATTTTATGCAGATAACAGAAAATTGTTTTTTTGAAAAGAAAAAAAAAAACAATTTTACGGTATATTTTTCGTCACATTTTTTTTTCAAAATTAAAACAAAAACTAGCAAAATTAAACGCGCGCAAGCGCGCCAAATTGTGTATTTACTTGTTTGTTATAAAGAAATTAAAGATTAATATTATCAATAATAAGTTAATTTATTAGAATATTATTACATATTCAATAATAATGAAAATTATATGTTTACAGGCCTCGGATTATACGAATTTTTCCGACTTTTTTCAAAAATACGACTTTTATCGACTTATTTTAATCAAATGCGACATTTTTTATTTTACATTTGAAAAAAAATGTAAATAAAATACCTTTTTTTAATATAAAATGTAGATCTTCTTCAAATCTTCTTCAATTCAATTATTTAACAAATTTTGAACTAAAATGATTCTTCACTAAATTAATTATTTTTAATAATTTTAATGAAATACATCACAAATTCAATTATATCAAAATTATTTTTCAATTAAAATTTTTATGAAATTTAACAATTGTTTACAATTTAAAAAAAAAATATCACAATAAAATTGAATTATTTTTTAAAAATTTCAATTCAAAATAAACATTATTACCCGAAATTTTAATTCAAAATCAATTAAAAATCCAATAATTATCCAAAATTTTAAATTTAAAATTTAATTATTTACCAAGTTTTCAATTTAAAATGAAATAAAATTAAATTATTTTCTAAAATTTCTGTTCAAAATTAATTATTTAAATTTTCAATCAAAAATGAACTTAAATTAAATTATTATCCAAAATTTCAATTAAAATTCAATTATTTCCCAAAAATTTTCAATTCAAAATGAACTGAATTTCAATTATTTTCCAAATTTAAAATCAAAATTAAATTTCATTATTCTCAAAAATTTGAATTCAAAATTAATTGAATTTTCAATAATTTGAATTTAAAAGCAATTATTTTTAACTATTTTAATAATATTCTTTGAAAATTACACTATCTGAAACCAGGCCTCGGATTATACGACTTTTTCGACTATTTCCGACTTGTTTTCAAAAATACGACTTTTTTTGACTTATTTTAATAAAATGCGACTATTTCGACTTTTTTTTACATTTTTAAAAAAGTTTTTCAAATAACATATATTTTTTTTTATTATAAAATGCAAATCTTCTTCAGATCTTCATTATTTCAATTATTTAAAAAAAATTTAACTAAAATTCTGCACTAAATTAATTATTTTTAATAATTTTAATGAAATTCATCACAAATTCAATTATTTCAAATTATTTTTCAATTAAAATTTTTATAAAATTTAGCAAGTATTTATAATTTAAAAAAAATATCAAATAAAATTACCAAAAATTTTTAATTCAAAATCATAAATCAATTCAAAATCAAATAAAATTGAATTAATTTCAAAAATTTCAATTAAAAATCAGCTAAAATTCAATTATTACCCAAAATTTAAATTCAAAATTAATTATTATCAAAATTTGTAATCAAAAATCAACTAAAATTAAATTCTTATCCAACATTTCAATTGAAATTCAATTATTTTCCAAAATTTCAATTCAAAATCATTTAAAATTCAATTATTTTCCAAATTTTCAATTTAAAATTAAATAATTATTTCTAAAATTTTCCATCGAAAATTTTTTTTTTTGAAATTTAATAATTTCAATTATAACTCGAAGGAAATTCAATTATTTTTAACTATTTTAATAATATTCTTTGAAATTTCAACTATCTGAAACCATTTTTCAATTAAAAATGATTTTCAAATTATTGTACTTTGTCCGCATTTTCTAATAAATTTTTAGTGAAATCATCTAAAATTTTAATTACAAAAAACACTTAAACTTTCAATTAATTTCAAAAATCTTAATTTTAATTCTTTGAAAATTCAATTAAATTTAAAAAATGTTTTCCAAAAATTGTTTGATAAATTATTTTTAGTTCTGTAAAATTTAATAATTGTTTGAAAATTAACAATATCTTTTGAAATTTAATTATTTCTAAAAATTTCAACTTTAACCCTTCGAAAAGGATTATTATTAAAAAAAAATTGTTTATTTAAATATCTGTAAAATATTTTTGTTTAAATAAAAAACAAATTCACTTTTTTTTGGAATATAAATCGACTAAATGACTTTTTGTGTCTTTAAGTTGATTCGAGGCCTGTGTTTTTATAATTAATATTTAATAGGTATTCGTTGGCCCCTGGTATCTTAAAAATTAATTTTCAAAAATAAATTTTATTTCAAATTACTATCTTGTACGAAATTTCCTGGCGCATCTTTTTTCTCATCATAAATTTTTTGTATTTGTATTTCAAAAATTGTATATATACAATTTTTGAATGAATATACAACTTTAAAAAAAATTTCGTTGGTAAACATTGTGTACTTCAGCTTCGTGAATTGAATTTTCGAATTTGGATTTTTAAAGAAACTTATTCCGAAATTTGGAAACAGAATTATACAACTTTGGCAAAAATGAGAAAAAGAATTGTCAAAATTTGACACGTCATAAGATTATTATTCAAAAAAACACGTGAAATCAGAAAAGGCCAACTTCAAGTTAAGACAGAAGGACAGACCAAGCATTTTATTATTATAATAATTGGGGAAAATTTCAATTAAAAGTTTCTTATGAGATGGAACTTTTTTTTTTGTCCATTGCGGATGATTAAAAAAAAAATTTAATTTTATGAGATTCATAATTATGGAAAATCGTTCAAGGGAAATAAAAAATGAAAAAAAGAGTGATGTCACGACCTCAAGAAGGCAGTGAATCGCGAATTTATCCTTGTACTGGTTTTATCGAGATATAGCGTTCATCATATATATATATATATCTTAAACGTTATGTATCTGTATAAAAACGCGTCTTCCGTCAAAGAAAGACCGCCAGCCACTTCCGGTCGTTTCGTTATATTCCCTGAGAGACTTTTGCATATATATATATATATATTGCAATCAGGTAAATTCGTTGATGTTTCGAGTTAAACAAGCGAAACCACTTCAAACGTAACTTTCGGATAAATTTTCCCTTTTAAATTTGCCGACTCTTTTTTTTTCTATATTATAAACATATAGTATACACACACGTGAATAATTCCACTTTGAATAATCAAAAAATAAATTTTTACTACTCCAATGTTAAAAAGTGTGAAAAAATTTATTAATATATTTTATTTATGTTTCTCCAAAAAAAATTTCAGGGAAGTTTTATTGCAAAATTAATTATTTGATGTTTATCTTATTGGAAAGTTTATAGTTTAAGGGAGAGGTGCGGTGTCTATATATTTTTTTTTGCCTTTTAAGTGCATCGAGGCAAATAATTTAATGTGCTTATTAGCCGTTACACATGAGAGTAGCAGTCATGGAAATTCGTAACGCAGAAGCTTAAGTAATAATGAGCTTATATGCAGAATTATGCAATTTACATTTGTTGTAATTACTTCCTAATTTTCGAAGATAAAAAAGGCTAATTAAAAAAAATGATTACTTTTCATATATACTATTTAGAAGGAGGTAATAAAATTATAGCAATTGAATCTTTTTTTTAAAAAAAAGGGGGAAAAATTAACATTAGAATATGTATATTTTTTAAAAGCCTAGAATTTATTTCTGAATTTGTTCAGAATTTGTTATATATATATATATATATATATATATATATATATAATTCCATGTTTCCTTCCATCTTTTAATATACACTTTCAAGAGGGGAAAATTTTTAACGAGAGGGTAAATTAATTTTCTCACTCCATTGTCGAAACCTGTAAATTTTTTTTGAGTTAAAGATATTTATTTGTTAATTTCATTTCGGAGTTAGAAATTTAATTTTCTCAATTTTTTGTCAACTTTTTTTGAATTGAAAATATTTTTATTGCAAAATTCTTATGATTTTCATTTAATAAAATTTTCATTATCAAAAACCGGTACAAAAAAAATTTAGTTTTAGAGTTAAAAATTATCAATTAAATTTCTATTTTCAATTTAGTTTAGTTCGTTTAATTGTTATTTTTTTGACGAAATTTCTTTTTTAAACGAATTTTCGCTTTAACTGAATTATTTTTTTGACGGAATTTTCTTTTAAAAAAATGTATTATTTAAATTATTTAAAATGTTTTTTTTTTCCAAAAATTCTCTTGTTCAATGATTAATTAAACAGAATATTTGGCTAAACAAAAATTCTGTATATAAAAATTTGACTGAAAAATTTCGTTAAATTATAATTTTCAGAATTAAAATTCTGTTCAATAAAAATTGAACTAAATAAAAAATTCTGTTATATAAAAATTCGGCTAAATTAAAAATTTGTTATTTAAAAATTTTTTTAAGCAACAATATTTATCAAACAAAAAATATTCGGCTAAACAAAAATTCTGTTTAGCATCAGAAAATGAAAATATAAAAATATTATATGAAATATTATTAATATGATTCGGCTAAATTGAAGATTTTTTATCTAAAATTTCTATTAGGTCAACAATTAATTGTACAGAATATTTAAATAGAAATTTTATTGAATCAAATAATTTTTATTAACCCGAATTTGAACTTTTTTTTTGAAAAATTTTATATAATTTATTTTTTAATTTAAAGAATTTTTTTTTAGTTTGATATTTAATTAAATAGAATTTCTATTTGCACAACTAATTCATTTAGCAGAATTCTTAGGGATTTTTATTTCTTTAAATTTTTTAATTGAAATTTTTAATTTCTATAAAATTGTCATTTTTGATGGAATTTCTATTTAACTAAATTTTTATTTTATCGCGAATAATGAATGTCAAATGAAAATAAAAAAAGAAAACACAGTAACAAAAATTCAATTAGTAATTTTAAAAAAATACAAAATTATAATAATAATAATTATAAAATTGATTTTACTTTTTTCCAAAGATATGGAATCAAAAAACGATATGGTTTTATTTTTGTGAAGAAAAATAGATAAGAAATTTCTCACACACAGGTTCTATTGAATATAGAAAGAAGAAAATTTGTCCTCTTTTGAATACAAGTCTTTTGAATTGAGAGAAAATAATCAGATAAGAATATATATATATATTTTAACGGAGAAAATTTTCAAGAATAATCTCTTATATCTTTTTCTCTTTTTTTTTAGAGTCACACGCAGAGATGGCAGGTTATTGAATAAATCGAATGATGAGGTAATCGAGAATGATGGTCCAAAAAGGGAAGTGCCGCGTAAGTGCGCGGCGATTTGTCCGGATCAGCGTCAGGTTGTAAGCAGATTACATATCCAGTCCCCAAACGAAGTAGCAAAACCCCCCAAAGGTTTCCCGCGGTGGCAACTGGGATTTGATGGAGGTTACTCTATGAGTTTGCTGTCCATATTCTCGAGAGGTCTCTTATATATATATATTTCTATATAGAAAGATACTTTATAAAGAGGAGATGCCACTGTATGATTGACCGATCCTTCCTGGTGTCCCATACACATTTGCCGCCGCCACCGCAGCTTCTGCAGAGCAAAAGTCAACTTTTAATACCTCGACACAACGCCACGTGAGTGATAATGCGATCAATTTTAATGATAAAATTTCTCCGGACAGTTAGCGCGTCACAATTTGACATATCATGCTCATATACATGTGTATAATATCCAAAGATCTCTTTCACTATTCACATTTTTTTTTTTTAATTTTTTTTTTAAAAGCGCGTTCTCTCTCACTGATTTTAATAACGATTCCATACACTTGATTTCTTTAATTTCTTTTATCTGTGAATCTGATCTTTATTTTCAGTTTATTTTTGACGGAATTTTTTTTTTGTTTATAATTTAATAATGGAAAATTTAGAGAATTTTCAATTAATTTTCAGTAATTTTTATTTACTCGAATTTTTATATGGGAATTTGGTTTTTTTTTTGAATTTTCATTGTTTTACAATTTTATATTTTTGGATTTATTTTCCATATTTCACTGATTTAGAGGAATTTTTATTCAACGAAATTTCTAATGAAAATAATTTAATTGAATTTCTATTTATAATTATATAAAAATTCAATTATAAATAGTATTTAATATAATTATTTTCAATTGATTTTATTGGCTGTGAAGATTTTTTTTTCAGTTTATTTGTGAGGGAATTTTTTTTCTATTTAATTTATATATATATAGAAAATTAAATAATGGAAAATTATATCGGGGAATTTTCAATTAATTTTCAGTATTTTTATTTACTCAAATTTTTAAATGGCAATTTGGTTTTTCAAAGGGATAATTTATTTAATTGATTTTCAATATTAAGAGGAATTTTTAGATGACAAAGTTTTTAATTAACAAATTTTGCATTTCAGTAAATTTTCATTTGAATAAATTTTCCTTTTTGCTAGTTTTTATTTTGTTGTTTGATGGAATTTTCTTTTAAACAATTTTTTTATTTAATAAAACACGGAATTTTCTAATTTTTCACGAATTTTTATTCCAATGAATTTTCGCATTTATCGCAATTTTTATTTACCAAAATTTAATAGAATTTCTATTTTGTATTTTTAATTAACAAAATTAGTATTTTTACTGAATTTTCATAGTTGTTATTATTATTGGGGACAAATTTTTATTTAGCAGAATTTCCATTTAACAGAATTTATATATTTTACCAAAGTTTTCAATTAATAGAATTTTTTATTCATTTTCATTAAATTAAAATATTATTTAACCGAATTTCAGTTTAACATAAACTTTATTCAATTAAATTTTTATTTAGCATTATTTATATTTATCCAAATTTTTATTTAATAGGGTTTTCTATTTAACAAAATGTTCAATTATAAAAATTACCATTTAACTGAATTTGCATTTAATTAAATTATTTTTGGGACAATTTTTCATTTAGCAGAATTTCCATTTAACAGAATTTCTATTTAACTTAATTTCCATTTATAATAATTTCTATTAATCCAAATTTATATACAATTAACTGAATTATTATTGAGTCAAAATTGCTAAGATTTGTTGAAATTGAATTTAAAAAAAAGTAACGAAATCAAAATTATGAGAAAAAAAATCCCGTTGATTAGAATTCTGATTAAATGAAAATTTTGTTCAATAGCAATTGAATTAAATAAAAATTAGATCAAATTGAAATTCTGTTAATTAAAAATTCGTTTAAATAGAAATTTGATAATAAAAAAATTAAGTTTATTAATAAATTTAATTTTTACTAATAAAAAATTCAGCTAAATGAAAATTTACAATTAAATAGAAATTATTAAAAATTATTAATTATTATTATTATTAAAAAATTCGGTTTCGGTTTCGATAAAAAAATATGTAAAGATGCAAAATTTACATTTCGAATTGTAATTTGCAATCAATTTTCGTTTTATATTTTATATATATATATATAAGTCAGACTTGTCACTTGTCCGGAAGGTAATAAGAAGGGGGTGGAAGGAGGGAAAAAAGGGTGTGTACACACGTGTATATGTTTAAAACCACAACATAATATCCCACAACAAAAGGGTCTTTCACCCTATACCCGTACTCCTTTTATATGCGCTTGTAAAATGATTGACGGCCGTTGTTCCAGAGCAGTACGAAATTTTTGAATGTATATGATATGTATATGACATGTAGATATTTCGAGCAGTCGCTTATCCATTTTCGTCATACAAAAAAAAAAAAAGAAAAAAAAATACACACACTTTCAAAAACAAATATAAATAAACATTTGAAATGTAATTTTTTTATTTCTCGCGGGCAGAGAGAAAAAAAAAATTTTATTTCTTTTTGATTTAAATATTCTCAATTTTTTAATAAATATAAAAAATATTTATTTTTAATTAAAATTTATATTAAATTAAATAAAATAAATAGCAAAAAAATAACTTTAAATAAATATCAAATAAATAACTATATAAATAAATATCAAATAAATAACTATAAATAAATATCAAAAAAATAAAAATAAATAAATATTAAATACCCGTGTGGAAAAGTGATGTGGGCCCCCAGCGGGGGCCCTTATGGATCGCCCTCATGCCATGAGGGCCGCATATGGATGATCCATAGGGGCCCCTCATGGAAACGACATGCTCATCGATGAGGGCGCCCGCATGGGCGATCCATGAGGGTGCCCCTACGGGCGCCCTTATGGGCCCTCACGTTTGCCCTCATCTTGCCCTCAAGTTTGCCATAATGTTTTTTAATCAATAATATTAATAATAAAAGTTAATTGATAATAAATAAGCTTAAGTTATGAATAAATAACATATTTATTTAATAATTATTCAATTTTAAATTAAATTCTTACTCAAATTGAATTTATTAATTAACGTTCTAATTAATTAACTGTCGGATATAATTAAAAGTAATAATAAATTAATTAATTAAAAAATTAAAAAATATGTAATTTATGCATACTATTAACCGATATTTTCATTTTTCAATTAATTCATACATAGAATTAATGATTAAACGCAAACCTGAGAAATAAATAAATCTAACGCATGGGGGGAATCGAACCTACGACCTACGGACTATGAGTCTAACGCTTTACCAACTACGCTACGCACGCTACTTCAAAACGAATGCTAACTTCTTGATGCTATTTAAACTTCAAAAATACCTAACAAAGAAAAGTGCTTAACATCATTTAGTTAAAGTTAAGATATTAAATTATATTTTCCAATCAAATGCAATTTATAAAATATAATTAATTATATGCTTTATGATTATTATCATGAATCATCTCAGGTGAATTTTCAAAAAAAGTGTAAATATATTTTTATTAAAAACGCGTTTTTCGTTGTTTTGAATCATTGGAAACATTCATTTTTTGTTGATAAAAAAATATTTGATTTGTGGACTTAGAAAATTTTGCTAATCGATCATGAGGGCGATCCATGCGGGCCCCTACGGTGGCCCTCATCTATTTTGCCATAAGTGTGAGTGTTATTTTCAAAAAAGTGTAAATATATTTTTATTAAAAACGCGTTTTTCGTTGTTCTGAATCATTGGAAACATTCATTTTTTGGTGATAAAAAAATATTTGATTTTTGGACTTAGAAAATTTTGCTAATCGATCATGATGGCGATCCATGCGGGGCCCCTACGGTGCCCCTCATGGATTCGCCATATGGATCAGCCCTCATGGGCCCCCGCCGGGGGCCCCGAACTCTTGAGGGCAAGATCGTGGCTTTTTCCACACGGGTATATAAAAATAAATAGTAATAAAAAAAATAAATACTTAATAAATAAAATGAAAATTTAGTTAACTAACAAAGAGTTTTTGTTTAAACTCGAAATTTCGAAGTAAGAAAATAAAAACGGCAGAAGAAAAAAAAACAAAACAGTTTTGTTTAAAACAATTCGCGTGTATTACAAACGATTCTTTGAAATTTGCCGCACGTGAAATATAACACCGCAATGTTACATATTTCGTGTAGTAAAATTTGAGGTTTAGTTTAAAATCCTTTCGAATTTAAAAATAAACCCCATATAATTGACAAATACGATTTGTTTTTTAATTTTTGTACCATTTTTTTTGTTTTTACAATAAAAATTGATTAACTTTTCTATTTTTGTAATTTGATTATTAAATTAATAATTGTTGAAATTTTTTAAATTAAATTAATATTAATAAATAAATTAAATTAATAATATCAATAAATTTATTTCATTGTATACCCGTGTGGAAAAAGCCACGATCTTGCCCTCAAGAGTTCGGGGCCCCCGGCGGGGGCCCATGAGGGCTGATCCATATGGCGAATCCATGAGGGGCACCGTAGGGGCCCCGCATGGATCGCCCTCATGATCGATTAGCAAAATTTTCTAAGTCCAAAAATCAAATATTTTTTTATCACCAAAAAATTAATGTTTATAATGATTCACAACAATGAAAAACGCGTTTTTAATTAAAATATATTTTCACTTTTTTTGAAAATAACACTCACACTTATGGCGAATCCATGAGGGGCACCGTAGGGGCCCCGCATGGATCGCCCTCATGATCGATTAGCAAAATTTTCTAAGTCCAAAAATCAAATATTTTTTTATCACCAAAAAATTAATGTTTATAATGATTCAGAACCACGAAAAACGCGTTTTTAATAAAAATATATTTACACTTTTTTGAAAATAACACTCACACTTATGGCAAAATAGATGAGGGCCACCGTAGGGGCCCGCATGGATCGCCCTCATGATCGATTAGCAAAATTTTCTAAGTCCAAAAATCAAATATTTTTTTATCAACAAAAAATGAATGTTTCCAATGATTTAAAACAACGAAAAACGCGTTTTTAATAAAAATATATTTACACTTTTTTGAAAATTCGCCTGAGATGATTCATGATAATAATCATAAAGCATATAATTAATTATATTTTATAAATTGCATTTGATTGGAAAATATAATTTAATATCTTAACTTTAACTAAATGATGTTAAGCACTTTTCTTTGTTAGGTATTTTTGAAGTTTAAATAGCATCAAGAAGTTAGCATTCGTTTTGAAGTAGCGTACGTAGCGTAGTTGGTAAAGCGTTAGACTCATAGTCCGTAGGTCGTAGGTTCGATTCCCCCCATGCGTTAGATTTATTTATTTCTCAGGTTTGCGTTTAATCATTAATTCTATGTATGAATTAATTGAAAAATGAAAATATCCGTTAATAGTATGCATAAATTAAATATTTTTTAATTTTTTAATTAATTAATTTATTATTACTTTTAATTATATCCGACAGTTAATTAATTAGAACGTTAATTAATAAATTGAATTTGAGTAAGAATTTAATTTAAAATTGAATAATTATTAAATAAATATGTTATTTATTCATAACTTAAGCTTATTTATTATTAATTAACTTTTATTATTAATATTATTGATTAAAAAACATTATGGCAAACTTGAGGGCAAGATGAGGGCAAACGTGAGGGCCCATAAGGGCGCCCGTAGGGGCACCCTCATGGATCGCCCATGCGGGCGCCCTCATCGATGAGCATGTCGTTTCCATGAGGGGCCCCTATGGATCATCCATATGCGGCCCTCATGGCATGAGGGCGATCCATAAGGGCCCCCGCTGGGGGCCCACATCACTTTTCCACACGGGTATACAGAGTTTTTAATAGAATAGAAATTTTAGAAAATAATTGAATTTTATTTCATTTTAAATTGAAAACTTGGTAAATAATTAAATTTTGAATTAAAATTTTGGAAAATAATTGAATTTTAATTGATTTTAAATTGAAATTTTTGAAAATAATTTAATTTTATTTGATTTGAAATTGAACATTTGGAAAATAATTGAATTTTAAAAGATTTTGATTTAAAAATTTTGAAAATAATTAAATTTTGTGTTTAATTTTGTATTGAAATTTTTAAAAATAATTGAATTTTAATTGATTTTGAATTAAAATTTTTTGAAAATAATTTAATTTTATTTGATTTGAAATAGAAAATGTGGAAAATAATTAAATTTTAAAAGATTTAGAATTGAAAATTTTGAAAATAATTGAATTTTCATTGATTTTGAATTAAAATTTTGGATAATAAATTATTTTTAGTTGATTTTTGTTTGAAAATTTTAATAATAATTAATTTTGGATAATAATTGAATTTTAGTTGATTTTGAATTCAAATTTCGGGTAATAATTGAATTTTAGTTTATTTTGAATTGAAATTTTTAAAAAATAATTCAATTTTATTGTGATATTTTTTTTTAATTATAAACAATTGTTAAATTTCATAAAAATTTTAATTGAAAAATAATTTTGATATAATTGAATTTGTGATATGTATTTAATTAAAATTATTAAAAATAATTAATTTAGTGAAGAATCATTTTAGTTCAAAATTTGTTAAATAATTGAATTGAAGAAGATCTGAAGAAGATCTACATTTTATACTAAAAAAATGGTATTTTATTTACATTTTTTTTCAAATGTAAAATAAAAAATGTCGCATTTTATTAAAATAAGTAGATAAAAGTCGTATTTTTGAAAAAAGTCGTATAATCCGAGGCCTGTAAACATATAATTTTCATTATTATCATTTAATATGTAATAATATTCTAATAAATTAAATTATTATTGATAATATTAATCTTTAATTTCTTTATAACAAACAATTAAATACTCAATTTGGCGCGCTTGCGCGCGTTTAATTTTACTAGTTAATAATAATAAAAATAAATTTATTTCATTGTAAATACAGAGTTTTTACAAACTTTTCGTTAATTACAAACAAATATTTCGCTCTTGAAAAATTAAATTAATTTAATAAGGAATGTAAATTAATATTAATTAATTTAATAAAAAAAAAAAGAAATTCACCAATTAATATTGAAAAATAAATTTTTCGAATGTACATGTGCAAATCGTGTTGACGCTGTTTCTCTCTCTCTCTCTCATGTTGCATTTCGCACGATTCGATCAATTACAAATCGACCCTGTCAAAACTTCAATGATAGATCGACTATTAAGCGCGAAGTTTAGCGTTTTAGGGTGGTACATTCAGTAGTTGTAAAATCCTCATAAATTCATATGGCAACGCGCATAACACTTTCCAGATATATATGTATATATATATATATATGGACAAATAGTTAATTCGACTCTAACTTTATGACACGTGCTTCTGCCTATATGCATGCATATTGCACGTAGTTTAGCTTTAATATTGCCTTATACGACCACGCGTACTGCACTGGACCAACGGCAAATCTACCTAACAATAATAATAATAATTATTATTATTAATAATATTGTTATTGTTATTATTACGATTGTGTCAACGAATATGACTTATGATTCCTCTTGACTGCAAGAAATTATATAGATATACTATAAATTCAGAACTGAGGGCTCTTCGCCTTTTAGTTATTTCAATTTAATATCGCTTGAGAATTTTATTACAATACTCAAAAATACCTAAGACGCATTAATATTCCCCTGAAAAAAAAATTTTTTTTTTGCTCACGAATCAAAATTTTCATTGTTTTTTTGAAATTGTAATTCTTTAACAGAAAGAGGAATTTTTTGTAGTTGAAAATTAATTTAAATTCTGTTAATGGAAAATTCGGAAAATTCTATTAAATAAAAAATTGAAAAATTAGAATTTTTATAATGAAAATTATTTTCTAGAAAAAATTAATTAAACTAAACAATTAATTTTGTATTTATTATTTGGTTAAACAAAAATTCTGTTAAATTAAAATTTTTTTTATCTAAAAATTCTCTTCTACAGTGATTAATTAAGCAGATTATTTGGCTAAACAAAAATTTTGTTAAATAAAAATTTGACTAAATAAAAATTCCTTTAAATTAAAATTTTTTGTATCTAAAAAATTTTCTTGTATAATAATTAATTAAATAGAATATTTGGTTAAACAAAAATTCTGTTAAATAAAAATTTGGGTGAAAAATTCCATTAAATTAAAAATTTTCATAATTAATATAAATAAAAATTTGGCTAATTTCGTTTAGCAGAATTTACATTATTATCAAATTATAAATTAAAGTTTTGTTAAAATATTTGACAAATTTTTATTATAAAACTTTTTTGGAGAATCATACAAGTTTTAAAAAAATATTTCCGCTCGAATTTAAAAAATAACCGATCGAGAAATAGAAAAGAAAATTGTGATTGTATTTTTTAATAATTCAAAAATTAGACTTAATAAAAATTCTGTTAAATGAGAATTTTAATATTAAATATAAAAATTCTTTTAATTCCATTATTAATGAAAATTCAGTTCTAAAAATTTCGAAATACAGGAATTTACAATTTTTTTTGGGGGGGGGGGGAAACACAAAATAAATTCATGACAAAAAAATATTTTTTCCATCGAATATAAATTTTCTGTACTTTTTAAAATTTCTTTTATATATAAAATCCAATGATAAACATTTTATTCAACTTTTTAAAATTCGGTTATATAAATAAAAAAAAAATGAATGTTGAAAAATTTTGAAATACGAAATTACAATTTTTTTGAAAAAAAAATAAATTCTTGAGAAAAAATTATTTTTCACTTGAAATTTTAATATAATAGTTGAATTCGTTTTCAAAAGAAACTCTTACGTATATGTTTAAACAAAAAAATTTTATTTGTTTATTAAAATCTTTTTTCTATCTTTCAGGAGACGAAAAAAAGGAAGAAGAAGTAAAAAAAAGAAAAAGGTTCCTTGCCATAATCATTATTCGAATTGGATCATAATATCAGAGAGAGGTCATGAAAATCGATTCCTGATGAGTTTCTCGTCGACGCGCAGTTTTTACTTATTGCGATTATTGATCGCAACTCGGTAAGTTAAAAGTATATATATATAAAATCAATTATTTTATGAAAAGAGTTTTGATTTGATGCAGCAAAATACGAGAGAGAAAGAGAGAGAGAGAGAGAGAGAGCTCTTAAAAAAATATACAAAAACTATAGTTAAAAAGCGACACGGATATAAGCGATAAGCTATATTCCTCTCTTGAGGATGAATATGATGTAAATAAATAATGAGGTGCCTTTAAAGGGAGTAGACATTTGAGTGGGGGTAAGAAGTGTTATGAAACATAATTAGCGGCCGCCGCCACTGACTCGCGATGATTACAGGGCGGTGAGCAAAAGTCCTGGGCGAGGAAGGGCTACCAGATATATATAACTCTTCTCAGCTCTCTTTTCTCTCTTTTCTCTCTCTATATATGTATATTCACACTCACACGCTTAAACACATGAGATATCCATTTTACAGACTATGCTCGTCATATTTCTCGAACTATGGGAGGAGAACGTTTTTTTGCTGAAATAGCAAAAAAAATAAATAATAAAGTATTATAAAAAAAAAAACAAACATGATGCAATTCCGCAGATAAGCAAAATCGTTCGTAAGAATCGGACAAATTTTATTAACTGGCTTGAGAAAATCGTTGTTCGCCGCGATATTTATCACCTCGCAAAAGTTTAAAATACCACTTTTAAATCCTGTAAATTATCCTCTCTGTGTGGTAAAAGACTCGGGAATATTTCGCCTTAAAATGAAATTATTAATTCGAATTTTATCAAAGTTTCATTAATTAGGACGAATTTCGTTAGAAGTGAATTTTATTCTATTTAAATAGAATTTCTAATAAAAATATATAATTTCTGTTTTTTATTTATAATTTCTATTTTTCATTTATAATTTTAAAATTCCTAAAAATAATAATTAATTCGAATTTTCTCAAAATTTCAATTATAAAGACAAATTTTCGGAATGAATTTTATATTATTTAAATAGAATTTCTAAAAATATATAATTTTTTAATCCCTAAAAAAATTATTAATTCGAATTTTACCAAATTTTCGTTTACAAGAACGAATTTCTAGAATAATATACAAATTCTAATTTTTAAATTGAATTTTTTAAAAATAAAATTAAAAGAATGTGGACAAAATTTTTGTGAAATTAATTATTTTTGCACATAATTTAAAAATATTGTTTATTAATTTGAAAAAATAATATAAATATCAATTTATAATTTATAAATTCAATTCAGTTTAATTTATAATTTATTTTATTAATAAAAATATATAAAATATGAAAATAAATTTTAAAGAACTAAAAATAATTTATGAAACAATTTTTGGAAAACATTTTTTAAATTTAATTGAATTTTCAAAGATTTAAAATTGAGATTTTTGAAATTAATTGAAACTTTAAGTGATTTTTAATTAAAATTTTAGATGATTTCACTAAAAATTTATTAGAAAATCCGGACAAAATAAAATAATTTGAAAATCATTTTTAATTGAAAAATGGTTTCAGATAGTTGAATTATTAAAGAATATTATTAAAATAGTTAAAAATAATTGAATTTCCTTAGAGTTATAATTGAAATTATTAAATTTCAAAAAAAAAATTTTCGATGGAAAATTTTAGAAATAATTAAATTTTAGATGCTTTTAAATTCAAACTATATTGAAAATTCAATTAATTTTGAATTCAAACTTTTGAGAATAATGAAATTTTATTTGATTTTAAATTTGGAAAATAATTGAATTTCAGTTAATTTTGAATTGAAAATTTTTGGGAAATAATTGAATTTTAATTGAAATCTTGGATAATAATTTAATTTAAGTTCATTTTTGATTGAAAATTTAGATAATTAATTTTAAATAGAAATTTTTGAAAATAATTGAATTTTATTTCATTTTAATTGAAAATTAAAAATATTTTTTTTTTTTTAATTATAAACAATTGTTAAATTTCATAAGAATTTTAATTGAAAAAATAATTTTGATATAATTGAATTTGTTATGTATTTCATTAAAATTATTAAAAATAATTTTATTTGATTTCAAATTGAAAATTTTTGGGAAATAATTGAATTTTAATTGAAATTTTGGATAATAATTTAATTTAAGTTCATTTTTGATTGAAAATTTAAATAATTAATTTTGAACAGAAATTTTAGAAAATAATTGAATTTTATTTCATTTTAAATTGAAAATTAAAAATATTTTTTTTTTAATTATAAACAATTGTTAAATTTCATAAAAATTTTAATTGAAAAAATAATTTTGATATAATTGAATTTGTTACGTATTTCATTAAAATTATTAAAAATAATTTTATTTGATTTCAAATTGAAAATTTTTGGGAAATAATTGAATTTTAATTGAAATTTTGGATAATAATTTAATTTAAGTTCATTTTTGATTGAAAATTTAAATAATTAATTTTGAACAGAAATTTTAGAAAATAATTGAATTTTATTTCATTTTAAATTGAAAACTTGGTAAATAATTAAATTTTAAATTGAAAATTTTGGATAATTATTGGATTTTTAATTGATTTTGAATTAAAATTTCGGGTAATAATGTTTATTTTGAATTGAAATTTTTAAAAAATAATTTAATTTTATTGTGATATTTTTTTTTTAAATTGTAAACAATTGTTAAATTTCATAAAAATTTTAATTGAAAAATAATTTTGATATAATTGAATTTGTGATGTATTTCATTAAAATTATTAAAAATAATTAATTTAGTGAAGAATCATTTTAGTTCAAAATTTGTTAAATAATTGAATTGAAGAAGATCTGAAGAAGATCTACATTTTATACTAAAAAAATGTATTTTATTTACATTTTCTTTTCAAATGTAAAAAAAAATGTCGCATTTTATGAAAATAAGTCGATAAAAGTCGTATTTTTGAAAAAAAGTCGGAAAAAGTCGTATAATCCGAGGCCTGTAAACATATAATTTTCATTATTATTGAATATGTAATAATATTCTAATAAATTAACTTATTATTGATAATATTTATCTTTAATTTCTTTATAACAAACAATTAAATACTCAATTTGGCGCGCTTGGGCTCGTTTAATTTTTCTAGTTAATTAATAAAATTATATTGTAATTTGTTAAAAATATAATTCAGCGAATGTTTTAATTTCAATTATAATTTAATAGAATTTAATTTATTGAAAAATAATAATTTTAAATTGTAAATTTATTAAAGGAATTTGAAATTTTATAATTAGTTAATTTACTTAACAATGGAAATAAATTAAAAAATGCAATTGTAAAAAGTAATTTAAAATTTTAAAAAATAATTTTTTTTTATTTACTAGAAATTAACGATGTAAAATTTCGATTGAATAGGATTTTAATTTATTTCAATAAAGAATAAAGTTTAAATGGAATATAATTTTTTTTTTTTCTTATTTTCAAGGAAATGATTTGAAAAATAGACGAGAAAATTATAACTCTTTCTTTTTTTCTTTCTCTACGAGGGAAAAAATGATTTATTTTTTTTACCCCCAACCCAGTATTTAGAGTATAAAATTAAAACAGTCACCTATGGCAAAGACGAAGTTGCAAAGTTATAATGACCGACTTGCACGCCTATATAATATATAATAGAAGAGTGCGCGCGCGAGAAAGGGATTTTTGCGTTTTCATCGACTCAATCATTAAAGTCCACAAAAATCAAAAGGCACCGCCCAACACTACCGAAGCGAGAGAGATCAACTCCTCTCTCTATAACCATATACTCTCGCATCAATTACAGAATTACCAGTACGTGCCTCCCCATATAGAAGATTGACATTGGGATTGACATTGAGATTTGTAATCTTTATGCTCAATTATTTAATAGTTTGTATACTGCAATTGCTGATGGAGTTGCGATGGATGAGCGCGCGCAAGAGAGTGGGGTTAAAAAATAAATGGCATTGCAAAGCTGAAATTTGATGGAAACTTTTTTTTTTTTTTTTTTTTTTTTTTTTTTTTGAAAAAAAATTCTGCAAATTAAGTTCCGCGTGCAATAAACCCATGGATTTAAATTGGTTTATTTAATGTTTTGTTGCACAAAAAATAGAAATAAAAAATTTTACAAGTTTCTAATGATATAAATTATCTCGCTGATAAATTTCGTCATTTTGTAAATTAATTTCCTTAATTCGTTAAAATGGAAAGATTAAATAAAAATTTAAATGCATTTAAAAATGAAAATTTTTGTTGAAATATTTTTACAATTAATTTACTTTATGGAAAATTTTTTTCAAAAAAGGAAAATTAAATTTCTTCATTGTTTGTCAATTAAGATGAAAATTTTCAATTATTAGAAATAAAAATTCTGATAAATAGAAATTCGAAAAGAAAATTCGATTTAAAAATTATGTATTAAAATTATGTATTAAAATTAGAATTAAAATTAGAATTAAAATTAGAATTAAAACTAGAAATTGTATATATTTTTAGAGATTTGTTCTTGTAAACAAAAGTTTGGAAAAATTCGAATCGATAATTTTATTTAGGGAATTAAAAAAATATATATTTTTAGAAATTATGTAAACGAAAATTGAGGAAAATTCGGATTATTATTTTTAGGGATTTAAAAATTATATTTGTGTATTTTTAGAAATTCTATATTTAAATAAAATAATATTCAGTTTAACAGAAATTCGTCCTTGGTAAACGAAAATTTGGAAAAATTCGAATTAATGATTTTTTAAGAATTTAAAAATTAAAATAATTTAGTTTTATTAATTTATCTTATTGGAATTAAATTTAAAAGCAATTAAATTTTAAAAATAATTGAAATTTATAGAAAATAATTTGAACATACAAAATCGATAAATTAAAAAAAAAAAAATTTTTTGAATTTATAAAAATAATACAAATTTTCTATAATTAATTTATATGAAAAAATAAAATCTGCTAATGAAATATCTCGATAATTATATATAGAGAATAATTAAAAATTATTAAATTTGTATAAAATTTAATTTAAAAAATTTATCGAATCAAAGAAGCAAAAATTTTTAT